AACTTTTTTTTAATTGTAGGTTATAGCAAAAGTTATTACAGATTTTCATAGCAAACTACAAAAAAAGCATGCACTAATAAATCGCGTAATTGGATCCACTTCAGAATTAGAGCAAAAAGAACTAAAACGAATATCGTCAAGCACCAAAATCCAAGCTACAGTTTTACCAGTGCGTTCTGTTGGTGTGCAGGGTGAGTATTCAGCAACATGAATTTGTAAAAATGAAAATTTTGGGAAATCAAGTTTGAAAGTTTTTTTTACAAGACTTAACTGTATATTCACCCAGCCAGCAAAATCGTTGTAAGCGAGCTCGTAACTGGATATTTTCTCGAAGAAAAGCCGGCTTAAAAGTCGTTTATGATAGCCGTCTACGATTCGTTTACGAGTACTTTTTCGCTTGAAATTGTCGATCGCCTACGAACAGTCGTAAACGGATCGAAAAAGCATTCGTATGCGAATATTATATATTGTAAAATATTGTGGTTTAAGAAAAATTTCCAACAGAATGAAAATTTTTTCTTGTGCTGACAAATTACTACAAGCGTCGTTCTTTTACTTTTTTTTTGTTATATCGTTTACGAGCCTTTTTCTAACTTTTTGCCGATCGAGAATCCATCGAAAACATAATGTTCGTAAAATGTACGTTTTCTTGCTGGCTGGGCAGGTAATTGAAATTGTAAAATAGGCGTGTTTTTTTTACACGCATACGTATCTGCGCTTAAAATTTGTATGGAGCAGTAAGCGACAAACTTTATATGCGCTTATGAATAATTGTCGATAAAATCAAAATTACTTGTTTTCAAATGGAAATTGTCGATGCTTGTTTTTTTTCAAACGTTAAGCGTAGATGTATATGCGTAAAAAAAAAACACGGCTAATATGTGCTTTCCGTGTACACATGGTACTCTGGGTTTTGGTATAATATAGAACAAGCTTTCCCAAAGTGGGTGCCGCGGCACTCTGTGGTACCGCCACCGTATGCCTGAGGTGCCGCTAGTGGCTAGAGCATACTAGTGGTGCGGGCAAATTCTTTATACTTTCCATACACAACGCAAGCGGTTTGATCACACTTCAACATGGCGGTCAGAAAATCAAAAAATTTTGATTTTTATTTTAATTACCTTCAGCGGCAAAGGGATATTTCGCTTGGTTTGTCAAGCCGCTTGTGTGGTGTATTTCGCTCTTAAGCGTAGTTCCCCAGTACGTTTTGTCAACGAAAAATTCTATCAGAAAAATTTCAGAAAAATAGCCGAAACGTACCCTTTCACAACCATTTTCGGTACTTTTGTAGACCTAATCCGCGTTCATCCACTTTTCTTCTCATTTTCGGATTAATTTTCGAATTTTTTGCTGGCTGGGCTGTTCTCGTAACAAGCGCAGCAGCTTCGCTTGACGAAAGTACCGACGTAGTGAGACTTTTGGTTCGATTATCGATAGCAATCGAACTTCAGTTGCGTTGCTAGTTGCCAAAACGATATTACGGATCGCAACTGGCAACTTTCAACTGACAACTGCAGTTGCTACAAAGCAGTGTTGGAAAATTCAAGTACAAGTACCAGTACAATTAAATTACCCGGTAATTAAAAAAAATAAATACCAAGTATAATTACTTTTTATTCGTAATTGGTAATGAATACCCATTTTTTTAATTCTTCTGCAATTACTTTCAATTACTTTTAATTGAAATTGATTTTTAAATAATCACTACAAATATTTTGTAAATAGTACGATAATCAACAAACTCAAACAAAAATTCTTTCACCTTTATACATATGTTCATAAATAAACTTAAACTACAAAATATTAATTTTTTTTTTATACTTAACACACAGTCACATAATTATACCCCTTCTGTTGAAAAACAATCAAAACGAATTCAAAAACTCACGCAAAAGCTACCTAGCAAGGCAGGATAAACAAAAAACATAGATTAATCACTGAAATGAAGAGGTTGCTTTTATTAAAACTAGGTTTTCAAATGAAAAATCGGTTAGCCGTTGTCTTCTTGCGTTGTTAACGATATTAGCTATCGAAAACATCCTCTCGACTGGAGCTGATGATGACAGTGGAGTGTTCATTTGCAATGATACATCACGGAGTAAAGGATATTATTCCAAACTTATAAAAGACGTACTTCGATCGTGCAAGTATTGACAAAATTGTTCAGCGACCACATCTGAAAGCGTTGGAGAAATTGACGGTGACGAACTTATAGCAGCAGGTTGGCTTGATTCTACGCCTATGTCATCTGAAATTTTTTCAATAATGTACTGTATAAGAATTACTAAGTTATATTTACCAATATCGGCGAAATCAAAAAAGTCATCTTCTCTACCTTGGCTGGGAATAACGGCGTCAATCGGTTGATTGTTGGAAATCCTCTGCAGAACAAGTAGACGATTCCATTTTTTGCAGCGCAGTGAACCACCTCGCTTTTATCTCCGGGCACAAAATCGATGCTAAAATTGCATCATTCGCGCAATCATCCAGAGAAAAGTAGCTCTTAAAACGAGTTCTCAAGCATTGCTCTAACCCCACTGCTATAAACTTACCAACGATGGGATAAGACAACCGTATACCAAATTTTCCTCTCTCTGTAGGTAATCAAGTGTGGCCGCGATTGGTGTCATTAAATATTTGTATTCTTCTAAATAATTAATTTCACTTGGTAAAAGTTTGTCCTGTTGCTGTATTCCAAGTCTGTCCCATAAATTCTCAAGCTTTTCTTTATGTAACAAAAGCCGAAAAATAGCATCATACGTTGAATTCCATCTAGTTACCACGGGTCATTTGAAAGAACACCGTAAGTTTATCTTTGACGGCCAAACATAAAAGCAAAGAGAAAAATGCTGTAGTTCGGGAGAAATATGTACATAAGTATATTATTTCATCGACATTTAAGATGTTTCTTTTCTCAACAATTGAATGATTTCTTTTAAATAAAATGTGTTGCTCTGACGGAAAGAAATGTTTTGTAGGCAAACATATGTAGCTGTGAAAGACGGAATTACGTTGTTCTTTCAAATGACCATGTATGTCAGATATGTATGGATTTCGCTACTTTAAGCATTAAGTATTCATTACCAATTACAAATAAAAAGTATTTGTACTTGGTAATTATTATTTTTAATTACTGGGTAATTGTATTTAGGTGGCATTTAAGTACAAATGTAATGAATATTTTCCAACTCTGCTACAAAGTGAATATACTGGCAACTACATTTTTGTGGTTGCTGGGAATGTTTTTGGAGAGTATTTAGGAGCGAAAATTGAAGTGTGTCACATATTTTACTTTTTAATAATTTGAACCAAGGCGAATTTATATAAGGTGGTGTTACTAGATCAGCTGATTTTGTGTATGTATTTCGCCTCACGGCTTTTAATGTCAAATTGAAAATTTTGTTTGAATTTCCACACACACACCTACAGATTTTGACAGTTTGTGCCGCCAAAGCAAAAACAAAATACATGTAAATTTTTGTTTTTGTTCTCCTGCTATCACCTTATATTAATTCGCCTTGATTTGAACGATATTAACATTTTGCAATGCAGTTTGCTTTTACAGAATATTTTGAAAATCACAAAACAATAACTTGAAATTTTAGTTCCCGTGGAGTACGCCCTTTGGCGAAACAAAAGCGTACACTGATTGCAAATTGTTTCCTTTATCAACTGAAGCAACTCTTTTGAAACTACCGACACACTAAGTTTTCCAAATTGAAGCCATTGCTGTGGCACTTCCTTCTGCGAAAAATCGAAGAGGTGCGCAAGCTTTTATGAGCGGAGGTATATATATATTGCCAAAGGCTATTATATTCACCTCTTTGTTTATAGAGGAACAATTTATAACTATATTTGTAGTATATTTATTAAAAATAATTTAACATCATGAAATGCGGACCAATTTAATTTTTTTATTAATAAATCAATAAAGTTTAAATTGATTATACACATGTAAAAAATAGTATGTGCTAATTCATACTGGTGAACAATAAGATGTTAACGATCTTGCTTGCGCATGTGTTCGTAAATAAGAGAGCCGAGCGCTGCTACTAGGCTCAGTCGGTAGAAAACCGTCATATAAAAAGGTTGTTTTGCGCATGATTGTCCTTTTTTCCAAGCAAATTTCTAACGAAAAATTATCTCTATGAAAATTTGCGACCAACTGAACGCTGACAATTCAAAAGTGAATTACAAAACAGCTAATATGCGCGCAAGCAAATCGGTACTCACCACCAGTGTTGCCATTTCTGTTTCTGCCATCCCGCCAGATTAATAAACGCTGGAATCCTGCTAAATCATTTAAATTCTGTGAACTCTTATTAAAAGAAAAGTTTCTTTTATAAATTAGCAGTTAAACTTTATTTGATAAAATTAGAGATCATATGTTTATAAAAAACCATCAGTTTTTTAACAAAAACAAAATTGGAACTTCGTTATATGGTTTTATAAACAGTGTTCGGATTTTGTGGCATTAAATATAGTATAAAAATTGGTCATAAGAATGTCGTCTTCGTTTGTTCTACTACTTCTAGTAGCGTTTGTACTAGCTTTGTTTAAAGACTTTGTTCTTGTCTAGCATAGAAAAAGGAATTAAAAAAATACAACTGTGACTTCTGTATTTTCGGTGCGTATTAACGGTATAACATACTATGTATTTTTTTAAGTTTTTACTTTCGGACTTATAATTTTATGAGACTGTAAATACACCAATTAGTTTTAAAATTTTTGCGTTGCATTTAAAATCGCTTTGAGTTTATAATTATTTGCAGCAGTATATATGTATCGTTAAAAATTAAAATCTTTAAATCATCAAAAATATATAGATATGCATACATGCATCTTTTTTCATGTTAGCTGAGCAGAAGATACCTAAACATATTCGACAACTATATAATACTATTAGAAAACCTTTCCCGCCATGTTCAGTGCTTATTTAGTGCATTTTATTCTGGATTCGAAAATCTTTTTATACACATAAGTATGTACATACATACAAAATGCATTGTTTCAAATAAAATATATATCTTGATCGAATTAAAGTGAAAATTCAATTGGTTCTATAAAAGTTCAAAGTCGTTATTAGTTACTATTTATTTTAATTTTTGATAAATACAACAATACTTATATCTTGGACCGATCACTAATGTAGTATAGATGCATATTAAATTTTACTGAAAAAAAATTTTTG